TGGATGTAACCCTAATCCTCCATAATATATAAAGGGGTCCTTGGCTCACAAAATTGGCACAAGTGTGTGAAAATAAGAGTGGGCCGATTTTAGTGTGCATACATATTCTCTCAAGTTCTTCCAAGGTGTTTTGGTGATTTGTGATTCCATTTGAGGCTTCCACACTATTGGGGCTATGCTCTTAAAGCTTGAAGACATCAAGCTACATCAAAAGGTATGTCATCTAACTACAACTTTGTAGTATAGGTGCTTCATAATATGCTAGTTAGGATGAAACCTTGGAATAGTTAATATTTGCATGTATAATAGAGAAAACATAGATCTGAGGTTTATAGGGCTGCATGTACACCATAGGAGTGTTAGAATGCTCAAAACCCAACAACTTATTCTCTCAAGCCTCCTCTTGCATATTGGTGTTTGTGAACCATTAGAGGCATCACACTTGAGGTGCTCAGACTTTCAAAGGTCAAGAACTACAAGTCCTTCTAAGAGGTAAGTCATCTAACTAGTTGTATTGTTCATTTGACAATTTGTATGCTAGTTAGGAGAATGCTTTTGAAAATTGAAAATGCATGTATAATTAGAGAAAACATAGATCCAAAGCATTTAGGGTTGCATGTTCACCATAGGAGTGTTATAGTGCTCAAAACCCAACAGTGGTATCAGAGCCTAGGATTGTTTTCTGTTATACTTGATGCTTGTTAGTTTTCCAAGTTGAAAAAATCAAATTTTTGGCATCTGAATGATGAACTCGCCGAGTCCACTGGCTGACTCGACGAGTCCACTCAGAAACAGAGCAACTCGACGAGTCAGTTCATGCACTCGACGAGTTGCAGGCTCTGGTTGCATAAATTCGAGGTATTTGGCCAGAATTGGATTAGGATCATTACCACAAACTGTTTTGAATTATAAAATCTATTTTTTATGATATGGTAGTGATCATTCTCATCCAATTACAAGATAATTGTCAAAGTTTTAAGATAATTGTTGATTTATATGATAAACAAAGTTTTAAGATAATTGTTGATTTATATGATAAACAAAGTTGATTTTATATGATATGGTAGTGACCCATTATTTGTATTATAAGATACAGATTACTTGTGTGATATGTGTATGAAAGACCAGGGTTTGGCCCTTGGCAGCTGTATGAAAGACCAGGATCTGGCCCTTGGCAGTTGCATGAAAGACCAGGATTTAGCCCCTGGCAATTGTATGGAAGACCGGGATTTGGCCCTCGGCAAGAATTATATGTAATACTATGATTTGGCCCATAGCATTAATTTGTATGTTGGTGTGTGGTACTTTGGGGAAAAATTACTAAGCGTTTGCTTACAGATTGTGTTTTATGGTTTTAGGTACTTCCGGTACTAAGGGGAAGGTCCCGGCGTGATGACACAACATTCTCTCCCGTTATTTCCGCATTTTTGATATTGTACTCTGATGATGTGACATTTATACATTGTGATGGTTTTGGAACAATTTTTATACTTGTTTAAAAAATGAAAAATTTTATCCTGTTTTGGCATGTTACATTTGTGAGCTAGAGAAGGTATAAAGTTCTTACCTTGATGATTCATTTTGATAGTTTGATATTAGGGCTTGTTGTGAGCTTTATTTGGTCCCATGGGTTCTCCTTGTGAGTTTGAGCAACTCCAGGAATTAGATATGTTAGATCTCATCCTCTTTGTTGTTCATGATGCATAAAAATGTCATCTTGATGGTTGTTATTAGTCCATGCATGAGTTTGAAGTCTTATTATGAGCATTGTTGGACAAAAGTGGATGTTGGGTTCCATTAAGACATGCTAAGGGTTAAAGTTGCAAAGTTTATGTATTAGAACCCTAAAATGGAAGAGAACTGAGAGTTGGACCTTTGGGTTGAATGGATTAAGCACTAAATGGCTTAAGGTGGCAAGCAGCCTAGTACGTTGGGCGTACATAGTGGTACGATGCGCGTATTGGTGGTCACTTCCGCCGAGCGTACAATGCGTACGTCGAGCGTACAATGCGTATGCCGAGCGTACGCCTTGCAGTGGCTCCTTGTGGGCTTTTAATCTTTGGTTGGGTTTTGGACTTTTGGGCCTTAGTTAGGATTTGGGCCTTGGACTGTTTGAAGCATGAGTGGGCCTTAGGATTTTATTAGTGGGACTTAAGTTGTAGGAGTTGGGCCTTGGGGCCATTATTGTGTTATTGGGCCAAGTTTGGGTAGGCCCATTATGGGAAGGGTAAAATGGTCTTTTAACCTAGGAGTTTAGGTTTGGGATTTAGACCCACGGTTATCATTTAACCTAATTTTGATTAGGGTTATTTGTTTGTGTTTAGTGTCAGATCTTTCGGTTTTGTAGCCGAGCATCCAGTTATTTATCAGCAGACTGAGGTGAGTTTTCTCACTATATCAATGGGTCGAAGGAACCAAGAACGACCCATTATTTGTGATATAGGATGCTAGCTATCTTTTTGATATGTGTATGAAAGACCAGAATTTGGTCCCTGGCAACTGTATGAAAGACCAAGATGTGGCCCCTGACATCTATATGAAAGACCAGGGTCTAGCCCCTGGCACCTGTCTGGAAGACCGGGATTTGGCCCTCGACGGGCATTACTTGTAAGACTATGATTTGGCCCATAACACTAACTTATTTATGTATGGTATATGGTACTTTGAGGAAAATCACTAAGCTTTTGCTTATAGTTTATATTTATGGTTTCAGGTACTTCCGGTACTAAGGGAAAGGGCCCGGCGTGATGGCACAACATTCTCCCCTCACTATTTTTTGCACTTTTTGATATTGTTACTCTGATAATTTGACATTGTTACTATGTAATGGTTTTGGAACAATTTGATGACTGTAACACTTGTTGAAAATGAAAAATTTTATCATGGTTTTTGGGCCGTTACATTATCATGTCTTAAGGATATATGCATCACCAAAAAAAATACAGTTACTCACATCAAAAAATTATTAATGACATTTAAAAGTTAACTACAAACGGTAAATAATATGATACATGTGAAAGTCCTTAAAGTTTGACACCAAGCCTAAAAACTCCTCATTCACAGGCCGACGAGCTAACCGAATGTTGAACCTTCTTTCCAACAAATATATCAGACACACTCGAACCACATCGTCATCAAGAGATATATAAAAAATGTTCTTTATGTTCCAATTTTACTAGTCACTCAAAACAACTATATGAAACACACGTACTCGGAAGCCGTAACCAGAATCCGAGGTTAGGGAAAATCACAAAACTGGAAGCTTAAACAAGACATGTGCCTCCTCCCAAAGGTCAGTTCAAAGTCTCCAATCTTTAAAAAAAAAAAAAAAACATTTTGTCTCCGTTACTTCGAGGATTTATGATAACTTCTTTACAGAAAATACAATGCAAAAGAAAATGGCCCCCTTTTACTGTCACAAAATAATCTAACAACCTATCTAAATACGTCTTTCGATAGATAGCCTCACATGTCAGTCGGTTCTTGAGTTTATCAAGAATATCCGCACTAATGACAGGTTTGTAAGACATTGTAAGAGAAACTTCGAGAATACAGTTATGCTGCAAACGAATAAATCAATTAGTTTCAAAGTTACGTTGAACATCATTTCAAAAAATTTATGGCGTTCCGGATTGTAATGCTCTTTATATTCTGGATTGTTGTTTGTATTTCATACTCGTTTTTCGTATTCTAAGTACGGAATTCATTATGGAGTTCTCTCTAGGATAAACCTAACAAACCTAAGTGGTTATCTAGTGTTATGAGCGTTAATGTGGCTAAATAACTAGCTATCTAAGGCATTGGATATGAATTAACACTACATTTCTAATACGTTCTTCACATTCGAGAGATGTTCTTCACATTTCGGACTAACGTATCTTAGTTATTATTAAAAAAAACAAATACAAGTAAATGAACCAAAAGTTTACCCGTAAAACATTCAGCTCATCGGAATCGTATTCTATTTTTTCTTTGAAAATATCTCCGAAATTTACCGTACTTCGGTGTAGATTCCAGAATCTCTATAATAGTGGCTATTTTTTAAAAGTTACAATTAAATACTAAATACTAGTTTTGGTTGTGCGGTTGGACTCAACTCCGAAATGTCATGTTCCCAAGTACATGATCAATTTGAAAAGAAAAAAAATACTAATATAATAAAATACGTGGTTACTTTTTAAAAATTGCAAATAAATACCAAATATTAGTTAGATTCGTCTATTTCTGTGAAGTTAAAGTACTTTTTGTTGGTTATTGTTATCGTATATGAATTAATTTATGGGTAAAATAAATGATATCTTCGTCTCACTTTTAACATTGTTGAAAGAATATTTTACAAATATCGTTGGTGATAGATACATCCAAACTAACACGATAAAAGTACTTCTATGTTGATTTCTCAAGATGGTTCCAAACTCTTGTACAAACATGAGTGAAAATGTGCACACACAACTATTCAAATGTCTTGAACATATCTCTTACATCAATCTTACTTGATCTTTTAGGCTTTTAGCTATAAATTAACCATTATTTTTTAAAACAAAAATTCAAAGAACAAAATGCTACAATACTCTTCATCCATTCTTAATTTAGAAGGTTATCTTAGGAATTGGAAATTGTTGAAGATAGAAGTAAAGTGCAAAGTGAAACACCAAAACTATGGTCAATCTTGAATTCAAAAGACAATGTTTTACAATTATTGCCTCGATTTAGGAGAATGCAACTATACGTTCATTCCAAAATCCAGTTACTCTTTCCAATTAGTTTCCCAAATTTTAAGTTAGTGCCCCCCTACATCTACAAGTCATCGTTCTTCCCTTTTCACATGGCCCCAAAACAATTTACCCCTTTACCTTACCCTCTTCTTCTATTCAAATCCAACTTTTCTAAACATTTACTCATTATCCATTTCACATGCGCACTCCCTATTCCCTAATCAAAGTCACACCTTTCTTCATCCCCAATTCCACCTATTTTCTTCTGTTTTCAATTCATTCTTCATGGGGTTTTCCAGATTGATACTGGTTTTGATGCTAATGTCTGTGTTCTTGCCACCATCGACACCAGATCCCAATGATGAATCTTGTTTGACCAAATTGTTTGAATCAATGGAAGACCCGAATCATAATCTCATGAATTGGACCAAAGCCAGCTTCGAAAACCCGTGTTCAGGCTTCCTCTCGAACCTCGCCGGAGCAACCTGCAACAACGGACGCATCTACAAGCTCTCCCTGCCGAACCTCGCCCTTCGTGGCTCAATCTCACCGTTTATCTCCAATTGCACTAACCTCCAGGCGTTAGATATCTCAAACAACTCTCTCACCGGACCAATACCCAACGAACTTCAGTACCTTGTCAACCTCGCCGTCCTCAACCTCTCCTCCAACCGCCTCTCCGCCGCCATCCCACCTTCCCTCGCCATGTGCGCTTACCTCAATGTCATTGACCTACACGACAACACCCTTTCCGGCACAATCCCACCTCAGCTCGGTTCCTTAGCGCGGTTGTCGGTTTTTGATGTTTCCAACAACAAATTATCCGGCCCTATTCCGGCGAGCCTCGGAAACCGGACGGGAAACCTGCCACGTTTCAATGCCAGCTCGTTTTTAGGTAACAAGGATCTTTACGGGTACCCGTTGGGTCCGATGAAGAGTAAAGGGTTATCGGTGGTGGCAATTGTCGGAATTGGATTGGGGAGTGGATTGTTGAGTCTGGTGTTGAGTTTCACGGTGGTTTGTGTTTGGTTGAGAGTGACGGAGAAGAAAATGGCCGCCGAACAAGAAGGCAAAATCAGTCAGTTAATGCCTGAATATTGATAAATTGGGGGAAATGAAAATGGAATTCTCTGTAAAATTTGAAGATTGGTTTGCTTAAAGTAGCATCTTTTTTAATTTATTTTCTTGGAATTCACCTAAATTTTGGCGATTTCTTGTTTGTTAACCATCTTTTTGAAGATTCTTCATCTGGGTTTTATCTTGTTTGATGATTTTCTTGAAACCCAAAAAAAAAAAAAAAAAAAAAAAAGTTCTGATTCTTGGAAGGATTGCAGAAGACCCAAATTCAAGAAAGTGAGAGGTTGTGTTTGTGTGTGTCTGTGTAGGGTAGGGAAGAAGCACTTAGCCGTGGGATTGTCTGGTGGTGCAACTAAAAAAAATGAGTGATGGATTATAAATTAGAAAGACATATTTTGATTTGACTACCATCGCTATCATATATTCTTCCACACAAATATTGAAGGAAGATATTTTTGTTTAAGCTTTTGGATGCTATGAAAAGAAGTAAAGAACGATAAAAGAGAAACAAGTCGTGAAGTTTGAAATCAAAACATACCATATTTCCTGATATCGTTATGGTTATTGGTGTCTTTATATAGTTGAATAATGTTTTTTAATCATATTAAAATTTATAAAAAGATGTGACATTCCATGAATAGTGATTGATAAATAATAAATGTTTGGTCAGACTAAATTCCTTGATAGATAAGTCATCTTGTTATCTCTTGATATCATTTTGCTTCTATTTTGTTTTTGGAAGAATTCTTGATATATCTATTTAGCCTTACCGTCACGGAATTATCTTTCGAAACAAGTATTTAACAATCGTAATAACTTTGTTAACTCAAACTCAAATGACTAAAACAAACTTTAGGAAGCTTTAAAAGACAATGAATTGAGAAATACAATTGTATATTTAGGAGAACTTATATTGAATATTTAAATTTTTTGGATGTGTGTGTCTAACCGTGATTTTATACAAGTCTCAGTCTCGTTAATAGATGATCAAGAACATCTCTTTAGAAATGTGATATTGGTCCTTCTTTTCCTTCAATGCAAGAGTTATGATGTCTCGATGGTTTATTAAGTTAGGGTTTTATCTTTTGGACCTTTTCTAGCCATGGAAAATCATAAAGGTGGAAACTTTATGACAGTAACATACCGACTCTCAGGTATTATATTTTTATAATTTTCATGATTTTCATTGAGCAACTCGATGAGTTGGAGGCCCCAACTCGTCGAGTAGAGAAGGGTTTGGGTCGTGTGGGTTTTACGACCAACTCGACGAGTCAGAGGCACCAACTCGACGAGCTGGCGCTGTGAGAGGAAACCCTAATTTCCCGGGGTTGTGTCCTATTTAAAGGACCTTAAGCCCTCATTTTCGCCTCCCATGTCACCTTACTCCCCTGTGTGAAACCCTAATCGTTTAGATTGATCTAAGAGAGAGAGAGAGAGAGAGAGAGAGAGAGGGGGCTACCTTTGAGCATTCTTGTGCACTTTTGGAAGAGAAGAGAAGAGTGTCAAGGCTTGGAACGAGTTGGATCTGTTGTTTATCCATCCTTAGCTTCTGTTTGAAGGTAAAAGTCACCAACTTGCTCATTATTTTGATTAGATCTCGTGTTTAGGAAGTTTTAGGGCTTTTTCCATCTTTCCTTGAGACTTTGAGTATTTTGAGCTTGCCTAGAGATTGAGACTTCAGATCTGGACCTTGTAAGGTCCCTTAAGCCCAAAGGTTCATGCTTAATCAAGCTAGAGGAAAGCTTTTATGCTTAGGACTCTAAATGGAACTTGTTTTGGCATTTCAAGCCCTAAGTGCCATGCATTGACGCAAAGCTTGCAGCTTTACGTGGTATCTCAGCCTTGGGAGGCTAGATCTAGAGTTTGGGGTTGTAACTTTGCCTTAAAACGTCTGAATGAGAAAATAGACTTAAGGGGCTGCCCGAGTTGATGAGTCAACTCGACGAGTCGGTTAGGGTTTTTCCCCGACCAGTCTGGACACGTGTGACTCGGCGAGTTGATGAGACAACTTGACGAGTTAAGTTGGAATTTTGCGACACTTTTGAGGAAACAAGGGGACTCGACGAGTCACATAGATGCACTCGACGAGTCGGGTCAACATGGACTGTTGACTCGAGTGTTGACTTCGGTTGACTTTAGGGTTTTGGTCAAGGCAGGGATTATGGAGACCATGGAGGGGTAAAATGGTCTTTTACCCATCCCAAGAGATTAGAGAGAGAAAATATCTTAGTTTATTTAGAGTTGTAAATTGAGTGTTAATTAGAGATAATTATCGTATGTGTTAGGCGGAGGCTAGATCGGTGATTCGTGTACGAGATTTATTTGCTTGCTTAAGAGGTGAGTCTTCTCACTATACTTACCTTAAGTGGTAATTTGTGTGACCGGAGGGTCTTGTATGCTATTATTGAGTATTGTGGTATCCTACATTATGTCTTTATGATTTATGATGTGTATTATTATGAGCTTTACTGAGTTAGGACCGGAGGGTCCACCCGAGTTGTGGGACTGGAGGGTTCCACTGAGACACATTGACCGGAGGGTCTTATTTGAGATATAGACATGAGAGGGTAATGAGATGTGTGTGGTATTTGGGGAACTCACTAAGCTTCGTGCTTACCGTGTTATGTGATATGTGTTTCAGGTACTTCTCAGGATCGCGGGAAGGCGCCGGCTTGATTGTACACACGAGATGGAGTTATGTTTTGAGGATCCTGGATTTTATTAAACAATTATGGATTTGTGTTTTTGATGATTTGACACTTTGGGGTTGATGATATATGGTCCATTGGCATGGCCTAGACTTCTCTAGCGCGCCAGCCCTGCCTGGCGTTCCCTTGCGAGCCTTGCTGGGGACTCCCTTGCCAGCCCTGCTGGGGACTCTCCTGCCGGCTCGGCCAGACGCTCCCTCGCCTGGCACTCCCTTGCCATCCTCTCCTGGTGCGCTCCCGCCAGCCCCGCCTGGCGCCTCCTGGCGGCCTTGCCCAGCTCCTTGCTAGTTGGGCCTGAATTGGGCTGGCCCAAGGCCTGACCTAATTGCCCCCTATATAATGAATAGTATCTCCTCCATATGGAGGGATCTTCCCCTTGGCTCAGCCGCCGCCCTATACTCCGGCCGCGGGTGGCTCAGCCGCCACCCGCCGCCGTCAGCCACCATACACCACCACCAGCACCAAGATGGTTCTCTCCAGCTATGGAGGACCATCTCAGATCTTCTAGCTGATCTAACTTGACCGTCGGAGCCCGCTCCCGGAGCACAGTCCCTGGGGTGGCTCTAACGACTTTGCATTGTGATATCCAGATCTCCGCCGCAGCAGAAGACCAGAAGATTCGCCGGAGGTCGATGTCGCATCATTTGGCGCCATCCCGGATTCGAGCAAGTAGCAAAAGCCTGAGTTGGTTTCAAGCTCGATTTTAAGCAGATTTGTTCAGATCTGATGTGTTTTCATCCAAGATTTGTTAAGATCTGTTCATTTCTACCCACCATTTGGTTCAGATCCATTTGGGTTCTACCAAGATCTGTTCAGATCGATTTGGTTTCACCAAGATCTTTCAGATCTGTTTAGTTTTTGCTCAGATCTTTAGATCTGTTGAGTTTTTTTTTGCTCAGGTCGTTAGATCTACCTTGTTTTTGCTCAGATATCTAAGTATGCCTTGTTTTAGCTTATCTGAGCAATTCTCAAGTTAAACGATTTTATCAGATCCATCTTTGTTGGATTATTTAGAAAGTTGGGGAGAAAAGAGATTTCTATGAGTTTTTCCCCATCTTTGTTCATATTTTCGAATTTTATTCACCAAGTTGAAGAACAAAGAAATATTTTACAAGTCTTTACCCTCTTGCTTGCTCATTTTCAAGAAAATCGATTTTGGTTCCTGATTTCTAATGTACAACTTCATTTAAGCTGTTTATTTCGTGCTTCCTCTAGAAGCTTAGAAATGGAAAACAAAATATTTTCAGATCTATTGAGCAAGCTGAAGAGTAGAGAAGGTTTAGTGAGGAGAAAACCTTGTTAGATTCGTTTTTGTTCATATTTTGGGGGTTTTCTCAGTAAGTTAAAAAGAAAAGAATTTTTTATGAGTTTTTATCTCATTTTCAGCCCATATATTATCAGAAAATCATTTTTAGTTAAGATTTTCTATGAACAATTTTACCACTTACATCAGCTGTTTGTAAGCACAGCTGAGATGTTTGTACATTTCAAAAAAAAAATCGAGTTCTTATCCCACTTTTGTTTATATTTTTGGTGTTTCCTTTAAAAAGTGTAGGAAAGGAAAACAAAAAAAAATCGGATCTGTTTCTTGCTTATACCTTGATAGCTTGTTGAGCAAGCTGAAAAGAAAAGGAAGATTTCTGAGCAATATCACATCAGATCCGTTTTTAATTTATTATATGGGATTTGTTTAGCAAGTGGGGAGAAAAGAAGTTTTCAAGAGTTTTTATTTCATCTTCAGTTCACATATTACCAAAAATCGTTTTTAGCTACGATTTTTTGTGTGTAATCTCATCTTTGCAACAATTGTTTGTACATACAGCTATGTAGCTTGTACATTTTACAAAACTCTTCAAGAAAAAGAAGAGAGAGAGAGAGAGAGAGAAAAGAGGTTCTTTATGGGTTTTATACCACTTTCAGTTTGTATATCTTCAAAAAATCACATTTAGTTCATGATTTTCTGTATATAAGTTTACTTAAAATATTTAGAAACTTGAGGGAAGAAACAAGTTTCTATGAATTTTTTACCCTCTTAAACTTTCACTTTCAGAAAACTCATTTTCATCTCAGCTCAGTTTTATCATTCTTTTTAATGACTTGCTAATAAAGTTGAAAAGAAAAAAGTGTCTATGAGTTTTATCTTATTTCAATTTATTTAGACGATTTATTCAACAAAATGAGGAGGAAAAGTATTTGATGAGTTTTTAACTCATTTTAAGTTACCCCATATTTTAGTTACCATTTTAATAATGGTTTTCCAAAAGAAAAAAAAGGGGTGGAGAAAAGTTCTACTAAAAGAACTGATATATGTAAAAA